GACATACTTGAGCCATGATCTAGATGTGTAAATCAAATTTTGAACAAACATGCATATGGGAAGTTTGTATAAAAATGTCTCACATATTAGCTATACCTAAGGCCAATTACCAAGGAACACATCCTTTACAATTTCTTTCAGATCATATTTGTTTTCAAGTCACCTCTTAATCCTTCAGGAAAGATATCAGAAGGTAAAGTCCTCAGAATTATTCAAGCATGGTAATGATTTCAATTATGCTTTGACTTGACTTTTTTCCATTTTTATATAATTATGAAGAACAAGGCTCTGTTGTGTAAGAAAAATTAATGTTTATTACCATATGTTCACAGCTGTCCATGATTTAAGAATTACTTTTTTTATGCTAGTGATGGGGAAACACCTGATGGTACATGGTGATGGAGTGAAAGATGTTGCCTTTGAAGTGGAGGACTGTATTGCTCTTTACAAGGTAACCTATAGTGTGTAGCGAGGTTGCATGTAGCCCATTCCATCTCATCGTTAAGTTTTTCTAGCTTGATTGAAGAATACTAATGTGACTGCAAAACATAAGGGCATGGAGTCCAAATCAGTTCATCAGGATGCACATTTCTACTTGTCCCCTTCTCACAATAGACAAATGACACAAAGCTTAGTGGCAGGGTTTCTCGAAAACTCAGACCTGGAAAACTCAGACCTAAGACCCGAAAAACTCAGACCTCAGACCCAAAAAACTCAGACCCTCTGGGTGTCTCAAAATCTCAGGCCCAAAAAACTCTGGCCCTCTGGGTGGCTTGAAAACTCAGACCTGAAAAACTCAGATCCTGTGGGTGTCTCGAAAACTCAGACCCGAAAAGTAAAACATATTTACACCACGTGAATGCCCCAAGCTGACTTGTAATTTTTCCCCCTTTGGTAATGACAGTAATTTTCACTTATATCGAGCAGGCATGTTCACACTTGACTGAGTCCCTCCCCCTGTTTGTATTGTCTTCCACTTGTATTGAATGGTCACTGTTACAACAAATTTTAAGAGCCAGCAGTCCATCCACATAGAAGGGTTTAGTCCCCTTGCATCAATCAGTAAATATTTTTAATTAGTTTTTACATCCACTTCCAAAACACTGGTGAAACTTGTAATCCGATTGGATCTCATTACTGCAATTTATTCATAATTCACTCCATTTTTGCTCCAAAATGTTTCTTTTTCCCAGCCAGTGAGAAAGCCTTGCTACACAACAACCAATCTGACTTCAAGGCTTGTTTTAAGGAACCAATCAAATCACAGGAAAATGAAAGACAACTTTTTGCAATTTTTATAAACCAGCTCATTACTGGATAATAAATATTTGTATGAACTATAATATCCCATACTTGAGTGACTGAATTTTGTGGGATAACTGAACTGAGCAGAGTACAATTCTGGTCTGAAATCATACTAATTGTGATTTCAAATCAAACTCACACTGTGTGCTCATTTGATAATGAAATCAAGTGTGTGATTTCAGGACAAACTGCTCTCTGCTCAGTTCAGTTGCCATAATAACCATAATAATTTTTTGGTTTGGTTATACAGGCAGCCAGTAAGTGTGGTGCAGTATCTGTTCATGAGCCATGGGATGAAACAGATGAAGATGGCACAGTGACTTTTGCCACTGTTCAGACAGTGAGTATATTTATTACTTTTAAAAATAGCCATTGTATTTTGCTTTTCTTGAGTTCTGATTGGTTTACAG